GGGGGGGGGGGGGGCCACCCAACAATTTATTAATTGTTTCACTATAGTTGTTATATTAAAAAATCCCCCCGGCCGGCCCTCCCCCCCCCCCTTTTATATATAATATGGCTACCATTTTAGCTGCAGTCAGAAGATGACGTTTTGCATCCCGGCTTATCTTTCTGAAGCTGTAACTGACCTCGTAAGGCTGCCTTCAACTGTCAAAGCAACCGTATAGGTGTAGGTCAGTAAAGCCAACTCTCTCCCGACTTTAGCAAGCCAATTTTCCCTATGATTCCACAACTGTGGCTGTCGGGTAAGGCTAATCCTTTAAGATTATTTCCCTTTCTCGGCTGACCATTCCGTGTTCTGTCAGGCTAATTCGTTTCACGACATTGAGCGACACCCCCACCCCCCACACACACTTTTTTTTAATTTTTTTTTTCAAATTCGGGGACAGACAACACTACCACTTGGCCGTAAGATCTTGGCCTCATATCTTCTTATCTGATGGAATGGAATGAGCCGTAATTGCGTTACCTTGACCAGGGCGACAACTCTGCCCTCGTGTGTGACGTAGTTAAGGTTGGACAGCTCAACGTTGTTGGTGTATCTGTTCTTCAGTGCTTGGAGGTAGCTGAGAATCTGTGATTGGAGAAGAACAATTATATTATTGCTGTATTATAGTTTTCCCTTTCAATGGCAGGAAGGTGCTGCTGATGAAAATAAAAAAAATAAAAAAAATTTATATTTAAAAATAATTATATTATTATGATCACAGACACACATCGTTTTTATAATGTAATATAAGCCCCTTCCCACCCGCCCCCTGGTACGCCACTGATCCCAGACACGCCCAACAGAAGCAAGGCCAGAACTGCGGAGCGGACATACCGTGTTGTAGGTGTGGTAGTTGTAGTGGTCGATGATGGCATTGGATATCTGACGCTTTCTGTCCACTTCCTCTTGGGGTGTGCGGGCTGACCCGGCGTCCACGATACTGAAACCAAAATTAAATCGATCTTTTCTTTTTTTTTAATTATCTCCGAACCCTACCAAAAGTCTTTTTTCATTCCATCCTTATGCTATTCTCTTTAAAATAAAGCTTGTTTACTCTTTCCTTAATCGTAATGAACAATAAATGATTGTAAATGTGTATCATGTAGTGTCACTTAAGCTTTACGCTGTACTGCGTTTTAATTAACCACTTGGCTAAACCACGCCCCCTCTCCTTGTTACGTTTCCAAGTTGAGGCTGACTTCCGTGTAGTATGTGATATAAATAAGTTAACACTAAGCGTAAACGGCATTTTTTTTTTAAAAATGTCATTATAAACCAATTATTTATCCAACTCCTGACTCATGAGAGCTGAATAAATATATTTGTAAATTAAATGATTTATCAGGCGGGAAATAATAGTTTTGTGTCCATTGCATGGCTTTGACATTGTATATTTTGTGTGTTTGAAAAGTATCAGTTTAGACCAGGCCTGCACAACATATGGCCCGCGAAGTAACGAAATATTCTTTTTTATGATTGTTTTCTTAATAGCTTTACCCACTGTCCTATTTTCTTTCATCCCGCACAAGTTTTTCATAAAGTATTACGCCCGCCTTAAAAAGTATTACGCCCGCCTTAAGTTATCCGCCTTGGATATTTATTTATATATATATATATATATATATTTATATATATATATACCGATTTTAAAGATGGCTACGTGAGTACAGAGTTACTAAATCTCGTCCCAATGACATCTAAAACAGAGGAACTCTTTCTACTTATTTTCATTTGATATCTTCGCAAAAAATTATCTTTGCTGATTCAGCACGTAATTAAAATGCAAGAAAGTGAATGGATCTAAGTTTAAGAGTAGTCTGGAACCCATTTAGCGAGTGTGAAGTTCATAATTTTGAAGGGGGGGAAAAAAAGCTACATTTTCTGTAACTCGTACTGTACGTGTTTTTTCTGCGAACCTAGCGTGTGTTGAGAATTGTGTGTTTGTGGAAGTGGTGACGTCGAAGGATGGAACCTGACATAATAAAAGTCCCTTAAAAAACTAGAAAAAAAATTCTTCAGAAACACACGGTTTCTGGTTTAATTATTTTATTTTTTTATGATTAAATTTTTTTTTTAAAAGTGTTTTCTCCCTTTATTTAATGATTGTATGTCTCAGATTTTCGCCCTTTAATTAATAAGGGCTTTCCTCCCTTTATTTAATTTCTCTAAAAGACGTTCCCTCCCTTTATTCGGTTGCTATAGTACTGACCTCTGCACGTCATCAGACAGGATTACAAAGGTGATCCCACGACTGGTCAGTTTGGTCTTCACTGGGCCCAGCAGGGTTGGTGGCACCAGAACGGTGGCGTTTTGTTGGGGAACGGGGTCTCTCCAGAAGTCCAGCTGCAATATACAGTTAACGATGCCGGTTTAAAGGTAGAGACTGTTGGTTAATCCCCAACGTGACCTCAGATTAACATAACGGCATGTATGATGTATGGTAATACAGGAGGGGGTGGGGGCTCTAATAATTCAGGTTCACTTACATCGACATAGGTCTCGCCAAGATCGTTGAGGAATTTCACATCCTCGTGGTCTCTGGAGAACACGGCCAGAAGTTGATAGCTGTGGGAATATAGAGAGATTCAGTGAAAAGGAGACAGGGAGAACATGGTCAGGAGTTGATGGCTTTGGGAATAGAGATAGATTCATTGAGAGGGGGGCATGGAGAACACGACCAGAAGTTGATAGCAGAGAGGAGGTAGAGACATCAAATTTGAATGAGTGAGAGGCCTAAGTGTTGCACAGTATACATATTATAAATATCAGAATAGTTATTCCTCCAACGTAAGGATCTTAATTCGAGAAACCTGTGACCTCGGCAGCGTATGTATATTTAAAAACAGTGTGATTAAGTCTATTTTTTTAAAATCATGATTAAGTCATCTTTCAAAGTCGGGTTCGAGAAGGATGGTAGCCAGTTACATGCGTTTTAAAATTATATAATATCAGTTAAAGATGGCTGCCTTTGTAAATCTGTAAACAGAGTGGATACGAAGTTGAACTGGTTTGTATGAAGTTCAATAATGAAGGTCGATTAATGTTATATCAGCACGGAGAAGAGATTTTGGGGAAAGAACTGCTTAGCTGGAGAGTCAACGTATTAAATATGAGTAAGGAGCAGAAACTTTGACAACATTAATAAAATTATAACATCTTTTACTCCCGTTGTTTTTATTTTAATTTTATTTTGAATGAACCCCTTCTCTTGCACCCCTTTCCTTTAAACCCCTTCTCTTGCATCCCTTTCCTTGCACCCCTTCACTCGCTTTCTTTTCATTGCACCCTTTTCATTGCACCCCCTTTCCTTGCACCCCGGTCATTGCAAACCTTTCATTGCACCCCTTTCCTTGCACCCCTTTACTTGCACCCCTCTCCTTGCACCCCTATAATTGCACCCCTTTCCTTGCACCCTATAATTGCACCCATTTCCTTGCACCCCTATCAATTCACCCTTTTCCTAATTGCAACTCATTTCAAAATCTTGAAGATATGCTTGGGGCAGAAAAGACCTCTCTGCGGACCTTATTTTATCTATATAACAACTGTATAGATATAGATTCATTTAAATTGGTTTACCAAAAAAAAAAAAGTTTAAAGCATATTTCAATTTTTCTTTCTGTGAATGGAAGTAAAATGCACGTTTGATAGGACGCAGACGTCACCACTTACCCTTCAAAACGCAGTTGTTGCTCGGCCAACACGCCGAATGCTATGCTGAGCAGCAGGAACAGAGGGGACGTAACTCGAGCCATGCTGTAGTTAAAAACAGCAAAACGTGGAGTTAAATCAAAACCATTTTGTTTAAAATTGTTCAAATAGTGAACATCTTGACCGCATGATATCGGCACACAAAAAATATACCTCTAGTAATAGTGTGTGTGTGTGTTTTTTAAAAAATGATTACGGTAATGGCATACTGGAACTATTAACAAACGCAGACCTTGATCGCGTGCGTGGGAGATGACACACGTATAAATCACAGCACACATTACCGTCTTAACGTTGAGAACACAGAGACGCAAGAGACTCTCTCTATAAATCAGTGCTCCCGTAATTTATTTAACTAAAGACTGTCGTTGATAAGCTGAAACAAAACTAGGGGCCGGCGGTTCTCATAAAGTTTTACAGATGGCTCAATAGTTTTTGTTTTTCTCACAACCCGCTTTGGCTTAAATTATTAAATATTTTGACGCGATTACACAATTTGGAAATTACTGAAAAGAAATATCCCCCCCCCCCCACACACACACACGAAAATATTTTGAGTGCGTAACTAAAAGGAATCACTGTTTGGATGTTAAAAATAAACCTTGTGGCGAAAAACAGTGTTGGGATGAAGGGGCGCATAACGGGTATGTTGTCTGTATGTAATCTAGTATGAAGTATTTATGACTGATTTATTTGATGACTTTGGCTTAAATTATTAAATATTTTGACGCGATTACACAATTTGGAAATTACTGAAAAGAAATATCCCCCCCCCCCCACACACACACGAAAATATTTTGAGTGCGTAACTAAAAGGAATCACTGTTTGGATGTTAAACATAAACCTTGTGGCGAAAAACAGTGTTGGGATGAAGGGGCGCATAACGGGTATGTTGTCTGTATGTAATCTAATATGAAGTATTTATGACTGATTTATTTGATGACTACATACGATAAACTGAAAAAAATAATAATTATGAACTATGTCAGTAACATAAATCAAGTCTCCTGGGATTTGATTGAATGCATTATGTTTTATAAGTATGTGGGGTTTTTGTCCTACGTATCTGTACATTTCTAACCTAATGAATTGGATGTCACGTGTCAAAACAACTAATAATTTCTTTCCACGTTTTTCATCGTTTCTCTCATCTACATTAACGTCAAACTGAAATGTCCAACTATTTTTGTTTCAATTGAAATTGTCCATATTTTTGGGGTTTAAAGTAATTTTAGTTCAATCCATATTTTAAGAAGTCAACAAGTGACAAAGTCAAACAAAGTCAAACAAAGTCAATTCAATCATCCATTAGATGTCAATCAAATTAAAAGTATTCAAATTAAAAAACTTTTTTATTTTTTTTATTTTAAATCTGCTATAATTCTGTATCATGTGGATGTATAGCAGTAAAGTAAACTTACAGTTGCGAGTAACGAAAAGTTACTAGCATAACCTTACCTAGAAGATGAACCCAAGAATGATGTCTCAGACTCCTTTGCTTCTTCTTAAATAGATGTTGTCATTGGCCAATAAAGCAGGTGTCGTTGGGCACAGACAATTACAGCACAACGATGGGGGGACTGTAAATATTACGGGTAATAAAGAATGGTCTAGAACTCTAGGTTAAAGAGTCGAATTGGGTTACTAGGGGGTTGGGGAAGGGGAAGTGTTAGGTGGGGGGGGGGGGGAGAGAGAGAAGGGAGTTTGAGAGTTTGATTGCTCCAACACGAACTGTAACTCTTTTGATTTCACATGTGCCGACATTTTTAATGGTTCTTTGGAATAGTAGGGAGACAGTTGGATGGATTTTTCTTGGTTTATTTAAAGGTTTGG